CCCTTTCCATCATCATCGTCATCGTCTCCACTTCCCTTGCCATCGCCCTTGCCTTTTCCTCCTTTACCTTTTCCACCCTTGCCCTTGCCATCTGTGGTAGATTGAGAAGGARCATATTAGCAACACGAGTGAAAGTAATACCCGTCTCCCAAGCCAAGCTCCTCGTAAAATACAGTACCTRAAGAACATTGGAGCAAACTTACCATCGTCGTCGTCATCGTCGCCCTAAGAAAGTTTCAATGAAAGAGACACGGATCTGAGCTTCAAATGGTACAAGATACCAACACTAAAAAGACAAATAAAAGAACGAAAACAAAGAACTTACGTGCTTTCTACTGGTTGGCTTTCGGGTTGGTCTTCGGGTTGGTCTTCGAGTTGGTCTTCGGGTTGGTCTTCGAGTAGGTCTCTTGACAGGTTTTTTGGTTGGCTTGTGATCGTGCTCGTCATCGTCATCGTCGTCTCCTCCTTTGCCTTTGCCTTTACCACCCTTGCCCTTGCCCTTTCCATCATCATCGTCGTCATCGTCTCCTCCCCTTCCTTTGCCTTTACCTTTGCTGCCCTTTCCTTTGCCGCCCTTGCCCTTTCCATCGTCATCGTCGTCATCGTCTCCTCCCTTTCCTTTGCCTTTGCTGCCCTTGCCTTTGCCCTTTCCATCGTCGTCGTCGTCGTCGTCGCCAATCGCAGCTCGGCGACTAACGCGAACACGATCAGCAGCTCGGCGACTAACACGARCACGACGTTCGACCACAGGTAGTTTCTCTTTGTCCATAACGGCAGCTGGCACGAGGAGCACCAGCTCGGTTTCAYCCCCATTTTTCTCAGCGACAAACTTGTTCGAAGCCTCCTGTTTGAGGGCTTCATTGATTTCTTGCGGCGATGCCMAATTGGCACACACGATGGCACAGATCAAAAGTCGCAAGGCAACCTTAATGGTCTTCATGGTGACTTGTMTTTTCTACTAAGTTCGATGATTCTCTTCCGATAGATCTCAACCTATCKCTTTCGATCTTTTTGGATTTCACTCCGTTTTCAGTTGTGAGATTYTGTTTTGTCTTCAATTCAATCGATAAGTTGTAGCAAGAACCTATCGTTTCTGCTGAAGAAATACCAAGAGGGGTTCCATACTTCTTCGTTCAGTTGCGAGCAGCATATTGTTCGGTTTACATTCTTCTACTGACGGGATCTCTATAGTCTCGTTCAACGGTTTTCAGTTCAACCAWAGAAAATTTGGCGTGTGGTGATTTGGACACCAACGTCAATAGTTGACCGAYACCTTACTCTGAAAATTGCTCCCGAACGGTGRTTGTCACTAGAATCTCTTGCTTCGCATGCTTCCAAGATGCTGTTTGCGTCAATTACCTATCATGTGAGTCTAAGTTTCATTAATSACGGGAAAGCGTGTTTGAGATCGGCAATTTCATGTGGGTTTGGGTCTCGCACAAGGCGAAGACATGGTACGATGCAAATTTCTTAGTACTCGTGCCCCGTCACGTAGTCTTTGTATGTGACCCCTTYCCAGGACTCAATCTTGTAATATTTTGAGAAGCGTGCTCGTGCTCACGGCGATAACACATTCATATCATTCTTAAAAGCATCGATGTGGCAAAGCAAACACCGTGCAACAGCGCCAACCGACTATCCTCGTTCGTAGTTTGATAATTCAGTTTGACAATACAAATAATAATTACGATACTCTGTTATGACTACGGAATCTGCCGCATGTCCACTAGTTAAAGAATCGCTTTGACCCAATTGGAACAGGAACCGCGTACCGGTACATAGGTATGAGTATGATAGAATGAATTATCTTCGTCAAGCAACTAATAAACACAAATGTGAAATATGTCAACACTTAAGCCGAAGAATAATTGAATTTTTCATCCCCGGGCCCTCCGGAACCAACGCGCGCGTCCCCCCTTTGAAATCTAATATCGGGGGTATGATTTCGTGGGTTTTTTGAAACGTGGGTTATTTTTTGCATGTTTTAATTTAAAAGGTGGGTTACTGGGTTCCTGGGTTAACCCACGAATAACCCACACGAAATAACCCATGAATAACCCACGAAAAACCCACAAAACTGCTGGGCCTTTTTCCAAAAATTAAAAACAGTGATTAAATAACATTAATGACTAAAATACTTAACATCCTAGGTTCTCCGTCAACCCAAATGACTTTAAATTTGTGGGTTATTTGTGGGTTCTTTCGTGGGTTATTTGTGGGTTCCTGGGTTCTTTCATGGGTTATTTTTCAAATTAAAAATCCCACGTTTTAGAAACGTGGGTTATTTTTCACCAAAAATAACCCACGTTTTTCTAGGGGAGGAATTTGAAAAGGGGGATGTGCACGTGGGTACCTGAGGGCCCAGAATAGTACGAGTGCTCGTATGTACTGTACGTACTGTTGAGCTGCAGAATCATTCTTCATTGCTTGAGACTACAGATGAACAAGAATTCTCTAGAAAAAAAACTGAATGGGCCTGATGAAAAGGGTTGAAAATTGAAAACCAAAAAACCTGTTTTTCAACCTATCTCATACCAATTACACAAACCAGTATGCACTGTACTTGGTGAGTACCAGCATCATGAAAACTCATATTCCATCTGTGGCAGGAGTGAGAAAATTCTAACCCCACCAGTGTTGATACAATACTAGTAGCTTGTGATACTACTACTACTACTACTAGTACTACAAAACCTGTACTGCAAACAAGGCATCTACATACCAATTGCTTGCTTGTCCGGTGCTGCCCCACCATCCTAGTACTACTACTAGTACCAGCAAGCAAGGGAAGAAAAACTGTAGAACTAGACTTCTTGATGTAACACATGACACGCTTGTTGTTCCTCAACTTCTTCTGGCTGTTCTCTCCTGAGTCTGCAACTCCTTGTGTACAAACAAAAGCTATTGCAGTCTGCAAGTCAGGTCTTACTTCTTGCTCTTTTGCTGGCAAATGACAGTTGTGCCAAAAAACAGTGAAGCAGCTCCCTGTCCTTTGTTACCTGT